ACAGAACAGGATTATGAGGAACTATTACCAAGTCCTTAATCTCTATACCACAGGTCAGAACTAAATCAAGAGTGTGATGATAAGAATGAGTAGATGTGCGGACGTTTTGGGTAAAACCAAATGAGTCTATTAAATTATTAAAGGCTATGATTAAACTATCACTCTTAACATCCACATGAATATTGAAATCACCCATTATGATGATTTTATTAAGTTAATAATTCTGAGAATTCAGACAAAAACTGAGAGTCAGCGCCTGGTGGACGATATATAACAACTAGTAAAAGTGGCTTTTCTGATTTCCATTTTGGATGAGAAAGACTGAGGGACAGCGATTCAAAAGAATCATAACTGGTTTGGCATTAATCAATAATCCTGACTGAAAAATAGAACCTACTCCTCCACCTCGGCCAGTTGTTCTAGGAACATGAAAAATGAAATAATTAACAGGAGTGGATTCATTTATACCAACAAAATCCTCCTGTTGTAGCCAAGTTTCTGTCAGACAGAATAAATCAATATGATGATCAGTTATCAGTTCATTAACTAACAGGGATTTAGAGGAAAGAGATCTGATGTTCAATAATCCACATTTAATGATTTTGCTCTGGTAAAGTAACTGTTTATTTTAATCAGATTTTGATGGTTTATATTTTAGAGCTGATTTTTGGTTTATTTAATTTGAGCCGTGGGCGAGTTGACACTTCTCCGTGGTCTTGCTTTGTTTCTCCTTGGTAGCTTTGTGTTCAACATCTTTTGTCCAAACTATCTATCGCCCTCCTCTGCACGTGTCCAAACAATCTCAGCCTTGGCTCTCTGACTGTCTCTGAACCTGAGCTGCCTCAGATGTGATCATTTCCAACCCTGTCCATTGTGGTGAAGATCTGAACATCTTCATATCTGACACTTGTGGCCCCTCTGGTCTTTTCATTAGTGCCGCTGTCTACAAACCAAACGTAATAGCAGGTCTTTCCTTGTAAACCTTCCTTTTCACCCTTGCAGCACTCCTTCTGTCACAAACCAGCCATAACACTTGTCTCCATCCACTCCAGTGGGCCTTGACCCTGTGTACCTAAATACCTTCATCTTCCCTGACCCTTTAATTCAACACATTGTCTGTCTTCTCTCAGTGACTTTCATTTCTCCTCTCCACAGAGCATACCTCCACCTCTCCAAACTATTTCACCTGCTCCCTACTCTCACTACAGATCACAGTGTTGTCCACAAACATGTCCATGAGAACTCCAGCATCAACATAATGTGACAAAAATATCTATACTGCGCAAAGATGACGAGGCATAAACGCAAATAATACTTGTTTGCTTAAACTACAGGAAAATATGCAAAGCTCCATGTGTTCCTTTTGACCTTAATCTGAGTATCATTAGCTTAAGCATAGGGTGACCAGACGTCCCTGATTTCCAGGGACAGTCCTTGTTTTGGACGATCCGTCCCTGGCTAAAGCTGTCCCCGGAAATGTTCCAGATTTTAGCGTTTTAGACTGTTATAGGGGGGTAGAACGCTCGAGTGAGTATGTTGCGCACAACAACAGCTATTACATTAGCTGGTTGCACTGCTCTGTTGCGCTGTCAGACAGAGAAGAAGAAGAGAGCAGAGAGCGCCGCCTTTAAAACAGAAGAAGAAGAAGCAGCAGCTTCAGCTTGTGACCACTCGCCACCGACGGGGCTCTCCTGTGAAATGGTGTAAACCCATTAATTTTGTTTCAACTGGGCTGATTCTAGCCGTGATAAATGTTTGTTTCGCGGTAAGAAATGTTTCTAGTGTTGTCAGCTGTGCCCAGGTGAAAAAACAGGGCTGGGATGGGTTTAGTTTTATTAAAGATGACGACCCAAACCAAGGTTTTATTAAAAAAAACAGACCAACAAAAGGCAAGACGAGAGCACGGGGAGTAACTGCGGAGAGAGTGGGAGAAATCGTAACAGTTATGAGTTGTTTTGCTAACTCATGTGATTTGTGAACAGAGACTTTCAGGCTTAGGTGCGTGTGTTTACTCTGAACGTATGAAGATTCCTCAGTGACAGAAACTGAAAGAGGCAAGAACCGAAGTGAAAATGATGAGGAGGGAGAGATCATCGTCTGCTTAAATGTGCATTTATTCTGTTCTTTGAGCTTGGAGCTACAAAATAAATATAGGTTTTTTGCTAAATATAGGATTTTAGGCATTTCATCAGCGGAGGAAACTAATTAAATAATTAGAGGCAGCTTTTTGAGTGACACGGTGAAACAAGTGGAAGAGAATAAACATTACTAAACTGTGTCTTATTTCTTATGTTTTAAGTGTTTCACTTTACTATTATCTGTGGGGAGTGGTGGCGCAGAGGTTAAAGGTGAGCCTGTGATCAGATGGTCGACGGTTCAACTCCCTGTACTGACATCAAAATGCAGGTGGGATAGGTGGAGCATTCACACCTGCTTCCACCTTTATTTACCCCAACTCTGGACCCTTGAGCAAGGCCCTTAACCCCCACCATCTGCTCGCCCGAGTGCCCTAGCTGGCAGCTCTCTGCTCCACACAGAGGGCTGCTGTAGCTCGGTGGTCTGTGTTTGCGTCAGGAAGGACATCTTGGATTAAGATCAGGACTTTGACTTGGCCTTGTTAAGATGCTTAAGCGAAGTGTTCTCTATTCACACAAGGAGAGCTGTTGGTCAGGCTACTTCTTGTTGCTCTCTAAAATAGTTATTGAATCAGGTGTTCACTTATGTAGGTAAACATAGGTATAACAAACTGTTAAAACATACCAGATTGCTGGAAATGTCATCTACTTTATTCAAAATATTCTGGGGGAGGACCCCCAGACCCCCCCACCAGTGTAACTTTCAAACACCACTGTATGAACATGTTCACATGTGCACAAATGTGTGCATGCACACTTACAGTACATTAGCTTATTTTTGTTACACCAGATGTTCTTCCTGACGCAACCACAGACACCGAGCTACCACAGCCTCTGTGTGGAGCAGAGAGCTGCTATCTAGGACACCCAGAGGAGCAGATGGTGGGGGTTAAGGGCCTTGCTCAAGGGCCCAGAGTGGGACGAATGAGAGTGGGGGCAGGTGTGGGTGCTTCACCTACCCCACCCACATTTTTGATGTTGTCGGTACCGGGGCTTGAACCGGCGACCTTCCAATCACAGGCCCACCTTCTCTAACCTCTGCGCCACCACTCCCCACTCTATTCCTACTACTACTATTGTTTTATTCATTTTATTACTCTTAAGAAATGTTAACAGTGTGAAGAGATACATTCCTACATTTGATTTTTATTGTTTAAACATGAATAAATATTTTAAAATAAATGAAACCGTAACTGTTCTTAATTTCATCTTTATAACTTTTTTATTTTTTTTTTGGTCTCCGAGCTGGAAATGTCCCCAGATTTAATTTCAGAAATCTGGTCATCTTACTTAAGCAGCATTTAGCTTAAATAGCAGCCAGCTGTCAATGACGGCCAATAGATTTTAGCATAAGTAGCTGTTAGCTTGGGTAGCTTTTAGCGTGAAGAGCCGTTTAGGTAAAGTAGCATTTTGCTTGTGTGTAGTGTTTAGCTTGGATGCCAGTTAGCTTGAAAAGTTGTTAGCTGTTAGCTAACACTTATTTCATCTCCAAACGTAATCACTCTAACATCTGTCTAACGCAGCTAAGATGCTTGCTACTCATATCAACTCCACACAACTCCACTTAACCATTTATGAGAAAATGAGACTAAGCAAATCTGTCGTATGGCTTTGTGGATCTTTTATATTTATATTTGAAGAAAGAACGTTTCTGTCAAATAGCCATCTAGAAGCTTCAAACACGTGACTGAGTTACAGATTCTCTCCGAGGCCCGCTAATTGGGCAGATAATCCCTAACTCAGAGGACCAGATGAAACCATGGTGATGGCTTTATGCTCACAAACAACCAACCTGATTAGCCTTGGCGTTTTCACACACGAACGTCTCGTAATTGGTGGCAAAGGTTGGAGCGTTGTCGTTGATGTCCAGCACTCTGACGTACACGGGCACTCGGCTTATTTGTCGCGCGTTGTCTGGGAAACACAAAGGTGGACACGATCACTTCACATGAATAATTGTTACTTAACACGTGTGACACAGAACATGTGTGCAACTATAGCTCTGTCTCCAGGCAAACTAATTATACCTAAATCAAATTATGTATTTAAATAAATAATAGCATATTGGGGGGGAAATCACTTCAGCAACAAATCAGAAGCTTTTTATTGCAAATATATTTAGTTTTGTTTTTAATCTGTTAAGACGCTGTTAATTAGAAGAGTGGATGGAAATCTCTGCAGAACATTGAAGTCTTATTGACAGAAAAACAAGGGACATGAAGTTAATTAGAAAAGATTAAAATTGGGAGGGAATGACCAAATAAGTAATTTTATGTTTGAATTTATCCCAATCACAGACAAAGATTAAGACAGGGTTAAGTTTGAGAACAGTTTTAAATTAAAAGCTGCTAATAAATAACAATAATACAAATATACATTGTAATGAAGTTGTGGGAGTAAATTTCCTGTAAACTGGGCCTTTTTCTTTTTCCAAACTCATACGAGTGCCTCTCTGAGCTGGAAGAGAAACACCAGCTCCAGGCCAACTTTTCACTTTGACATTCATAGATAACCATCAATTCCAAAAGTCCCATTTGGCTGTAAGAATCAGAGATTATGCAGTGTTCAGACAGAGTGGTCCGCTGCCCATCAAGCTGTTTGCACTTACTGAACTCTGTGGCGATGACAGAAATGTTGTGCCAGGCGTGCTCCTCCCGGTCCAGCTCCCTGAGGATGAACACCGACCCGTTCCCCGCATGGACGTTGAACACTCGGTCCATGTCCGTGAGCCGATCGATGGTGTACCTGCGTGAAAAACACAGGAGTTGAAACTTTTGGGCCTTCCTCTGGAAAGACGCTGTGTTCCCCTGACGAAGGACACGGTCGCTTGTAAAGCTTTTCAGATGGTAACTGGTCCTAGCTTTTTTTTTCTACATTTTTCTTTAAATACCATTTTATTTTCACTTGTTATTCTCAGTTTGTACGCATCCTTTATGATGGTCTATTGTTGTCGTTGTTGTCCACTGTTGTCATCACTCTTTGTTAAAACCAGATCTCTCTTGTAAACGAGTCCCCGAGGATCAATGGGATTAACCTGAATAAATAAAGGTTGAATGAACGGTACACATGGTCACATTCAGGCGCAAGTCTTGGTCAAATTGTGTGAAAGTGAGTTGAAGAGGCTTCATCAGACCGGCAGGTGCTCAGTGTGAGTTTGAGAAAGTATGATGGATAAGCACATGCCTTTTTAAAGAAGGGGTGATTACAGCTCCGTTTAAAATGTTCTGGGAACATTTTATCCACCAATACACTTGAAGATTTTTACACAAGGGAACTTAAATAATAAAAACTTCTCACTGCTTTAACTCGGAACCAAAACTACGACTTAATACATTGAGTTTACGTGGATAGAAATGGAAGGTTTTAGTTGTTTTATGCAGCACGCAATGGTAAACCATCTTTGTCCTGTTGTGATGAGAGGTCTTGCTGCATAAACACACGCCGGAGACAACAGTTGGGTTGTTTTCTCTGCTTCCCAGACGACCGCGATACATCAGTGTGATTAATGGAGTAGCTGGCATCACGAGGGCCAGTGTAAGAGGCAGGAGACCCCTGAGGGGAGACCATAAATGCATGGACGCTCCGCTCTTCTCCTTCCACAGATTTGTACTTTCCTTCCTTACCAGTGTCTTTATCTTCCTCTCTTAATGCCCCGCCAGGCCAGACTGTAACTCTAACCTCGTTAAATCTGTGTCAGACACGAGCTTTACTAATTGCTTTTCCAAGAAGTCCTATAATTTAACCAGCTGGGGTCAAACCCCCACCCCCCGATTACTGACGGAGGATGGTCTTGAACAGAACAGACATCTAAAGTAACGCTGAAAGCTGGACTCAGCTGCTGGATTGATGGATGACAGGACACGAAGGTCAACAATTTTAAGTGATCACCAAATTCCACTGTTAGAAGTCATTCTCTGACAATAACAACTGGTGTCTACCATCTTGTCTTGATCTTGTTTTTTTATTTTTGCTTTAATCTGTTTCCTGTTTAACGTTGTAAGTTATCTCATTTTATTGTTGGTCTTTAACTCTTCTGTAATTACTTGTTTCTCTCTTGATTGTTTTGTCTAAGCTTTTGTTTAGACTATTGCAATAGTTTGTTGTCTGTGTGTCCAAATACAGTTCTTCTTTATAAAGTCTTCAGTTAATCCAAAATGCTGCTGCCAGAGTCTTAACTGGAGTTACTGGGAGAGATCATCTCTCTCTAGTTTTAGCTTCTCTCCTTTGGCTTCCTGTTGAATTCAGAATTGAATTCAAAATCTTACTTCTAACCTACAAAGCTCTCAACAACCTAGCTCCATCTTATATTACAGATCTTATTGTTCCATATCCTGACACATGCTCAATAATCCAGGTAGAAAAATCCAAAAAAGTTCAATCTGGTCCTCTGGACATTCAAAAAACAACAAAACAAAACAAACAAACAAACAAACAAAAAAAGCTTTTTGCTTTTGTTGTTGTTGTTGTTGTTGTTGTTGTTGTTGTTGTTGTTGTTGTTGTTGTTGTTGTTGTTGTTGTTGTTTTGAATGTCCAGAGGACCAGATTGAACTTTTTTGGATTATTGTTCCATAATTTCCTAATAGAGCACTTTGTTCTCAGACTGCAGGCTTACTTGCGGTTCCTAGAGTTTCCAAAAGCAAAACGGGAGGAAGATCTTTCAGTTATCAGGCTCCTCTCTTGTGGAACCAACTTCCAGTTTCTGTCCATGAGGCTGACACATTGTCCAGTTTTAAGACTGGACTGAAGACTTTCCTTTTTGATAAATCCTATAGTTAGGGTTGGCTTGTTATGCTGCTATAGGTTTAGACTACTAGAGGACAAATTGACCTCATTTCTTCAAATGAGTGGTTACTAATGCATACATATGAATAGTTTACATGTAATACTATTTCTACCTTAACATGTGATTCTCGACCTGCCATTGTGTATCTGTTCCTCCTTCATGCCCTCTCAGACCCAGCCGGTCGAAGCAGATGGCCACTTGTCCTGAGCCTGGTTCTACTAAAGGTTTATTCCTAATGAGGGAGTTTTTCATTTCCACTGTCGGCTTCCTGCTTGCTCAAGATGAGAGTCTGCAACAAAGTTAGACTCAAAGCAGTCTGCTCCTCAGATAAATAATGTTAATACTTACTTTTGATCATTCGACCTTGCTGGATAAGCTGAAGAGTTGGGCTGGCATTTTAGGTTCTGCTTTGAAATGGTTGTCCACCTACTTGTCTGATAGATCAATCTTCTTGACTACATCTATATACAGATCCCATTCCTGCCCTGTTCAATTTGGCGTTCCACAGGGCTCTGTGTTGGGGCCATTGTTGTTTCTGCTCTATCTGCTCCCTCTTGGTCCGATACTTTCATATTTTAAGAAGATCTCCTATCATTGTTATGCTGATGATATGCAGTTGTATATTTATTTTCTTCCAAATGAAGTTTCAAAACTACATATTTTACCTGTCTAGATTCAATAAAAAATTGGATGAATGAAAGTTTTCTCCAGCTAAATGGAGAGAAAACCGAAGTAATCATCTTTGTACCAGAAATAAAAACAAACTGTAATGATAAAGGAGATCCTTGGGCGTCTCGGTTATTTTGCTAAATCTTCAGTTAGAAACCTTGGGATAACCTTGGACTCAGGTTTAACTCTGGAACGTCATGTAAAATCTCCGGTTTGTTCCTGTTTCTACCATCTGCGAAATATTGCCCAGCTTAGCCGTATTGTTTCTCGTCCAGAATTGGAAATCTTAATTTTTGCTCTTGTTTCGTCTCGCCTGGATTTTTGTACACTTGTTTAACCAAAACCTCCCTAGACCGGTTGCAGTCTGTACAGAATGCTGCTGCTAGACTCCTGACTGGATCTTCAATGTTTTATCATGTAACTCCACTTCTAATGCAACTCCATTGGCTCCCAGTTCATTATTGAGTGGATTTCAAGATTCTGGTTTTGACTTGGCGAGCTCTGCATGGACAGACACCAATTTACATCTCAGAACTTTTACATCCCTACACCCCGATCAGGGCTTTGAGGTCCTGTGATCAAGACCTGCTGATTGTCCTCCAGACAAACCTGAAAACTAAAGGAGACAGAGGCTCTTCTTCTGTGGCTCCAAGACTCTGGAACTCCCGTCCTCAAACTCTCAGATCAGTGGACTCAGTGGCTTCTTTTAAAGGGCAGCTAAAAACTCGTCTTTTTAAATCTGCCTTTTCTTAAATTGGTTTTAATGCTTTTGTTATTTTGTTTGTTGAAGCACTTTGTGATTTTTATCTTGAGAAGTGCTATATAAATACAGTTTTACTTACTTACTTACTTTTTATATGTATGTTTCTGTCCAGTGCCCTGAGATGACTTCTGTTGAGGCTCGGTGCTAAATAAAAATAAACTGAATTGAACTGAATTGAAGCTTTAGTACACATCATTTTTCTGCCTTCAGTTGAACACTGAATCACTAAACCCTGAAAGACTTCAACAAAGCTTCCAGTAGTTTTTATCACTATCCTATCTATCACCCTCCAAGTGCAATTGGAACATGCAGGATGAATGTTCGTGCCAGATGTGAATGGGTTCTCGTAGACGCCAGTAGCAGCTGAGAACATTTTCACATAAAACAAAGACTTTTAACTCACTAACAAAAATATCACATGAAAGTGTTCGAGAGTGTGTCATTAAGCTTGGGTTGAACAATTGTGACATTAGAAGCTGAAGTTTTTTTTTGAAAGCAGCAGTTTGAGACAAAATAGTAGTAAATTTGCAGTCTGAGTCACTTAAAGACGTCTGGCAACTTGAACACAAAGCTGTTGATTGATGATCAGCGGGTTTTAGTTTTCAGTTCGTTTTATACACGTTCTGAACTAAACACATAAATATGAAACGTTTGAGCGATTTCACCTCAATGGCAGAAGCCTGAACATCCATGTGTTGCATGGTACAGTCGTGTTTACAGACAAGACTGTTCAAATTCAGAGACTTCAGGGATTATTAGGAAGAAGTGATATAAACCTTCACGGCAGCACACTTTGGTACCAAAATAAAGAAGGAAAACCACAACTCCATGATAATTTTACCTCGTGAAGCCTTTAAAACTTTTGCTTGTGACATCCAAACAAAGTAAAAATATAAACCCTGTACGTGAGTCCTTCCACACAATGTTTGAGTTCTGTCTTTTGTTTGTTTGACCCAAAGTTGCACATTGAAGTCTGAACGGGGAGAAACGAAGAGCTTCAGCACCTGCCAAGTTTATTCTCTGTAGATTTACAGTTCTGCAGATAAAGCATGCACAGATGAAAGCAAGAGAAGTATTTGTGAGGGCGGTTTCCTGGTTGAGGACACTTTGACACGAGGCCCGATCCCTTATCTGCCCGATGATCGGACAGCTCTGATCCCTCGTGCACGTCGGAGTCTGTGAGTGGGACCATCGTGTTTTGGCCTGAGTCTTTCCTTTGTGTTGTCAGCTCCTGAAGTTTGTGGGGTTTTGTTTCTGTTCTCATGTTGTCTGCTCAATAAAAAAGCATATTTATGTGTTTAAACTAGAATCAAAAAGGTTTGATCTTTAAGACAGCAAAAATATTTTAAGTTTTTTATCGCCAAGGACAAAATGGGGTTGGTTAATATATTGAATATATTTCTCACTTTATAAAGTTGCATTAAACAATAATACTGTGACTAAAGCCTGCACAAGACTGGGCTGCAAGTGATGGTAACAGGGAGTTACAGGGAGGGTCCTCAGGGCCTTGCTCTTGTGTCACAAGAATTTTGA